TCTGTGTGCAGCCAATAAGGCCGAAATCTACGTCTAGGTGAAATTTATATTACTACAAACAGCATCGATGATAATTGATTATGAAGTTTAGAGTTCTCGTCCACAATCCTGTGTAGTAATATTATATCACCTTCCAGACCAAGAACCCGAAATTTGACCGTTTCGTCTAAACACCTCAGTACCGAAACTAACCTGTAATTCCTCTCCACTATCATATCTATCACATAAAATTTTAATTTTATAAAAATGTTACATTGCTTGTATCCAACATTTAGTTCAGGAACTAGTTCTAAATAAAACTAATTGTGTAGACTGAATTACAATTCATTAATTTCTTACTTAAACTTTAATAAGAACGTCGGGAACGTACTATTCCGGAAGAATTCAACAGATAAGCTAAAAGTGATTGACGACATCTGGGTGGTCCAAGTTCTTGCAATGCTTTTAGCTACGCGTTAAGAAGCTCTGCATTATTGTACACTATAATTAATCACCCGCCTTAAATTACTCGTGCTTCCTGTTCATACAACATTTCAGCACTACGAACACCTCCAGCTTTCTGAAAGCTGCTGAGCAACTTCCAGGGATGCCTTTGTTCTGTAGCGCCGTTAGTGCGTAGGTTATTAGCAGCGTTTCGGAACATAGGCCATGCATCTCGCTTTACAAGACTGAAATAAGAAGCCCTCTGACAGGCGTAAAAGTAGAACTGCCCCCAATAAATGGTAAACGAAGCAGCTGTTGTTTCTTACCAGATAGTGGAGAATGGAATTACAGTAGCAATCATAAAATTGCATGCGTTAAGGTCACAACAAAATGGTACAACGCTGTAACACGAACAATGGAGTTTAGGCGAGTGAAGACAGTTTATAACTCGCAGCGTAGCTAGAAAAAAAACTATACAATTGATTTTCAAACGCGCAGTAAAGGGAAGGTGGAGTCCTTCCGTGTCTTCAAGCAAGTAAATTGCTGACGGCTACTTCAGAACTCAGTACTGTCAAATGTGAAGAGAAGTTAGAAAAACGAATACCAGAATCAGGATATATAAATGAAAAGAATCACAAGAAGTGGAATGAGAGAAAATTTTTGAAGCAGGAGATATCTTCAATCACCAAACCAGAAGGACAAAGAACTCCAAGATGGGAAGGAAAGTTGATGGATATGACACTAAGAAGAAAGATGACATTAAATGATTGATGATCGTGTTCAATGATTTAACGTGTGAGAAAAGAGGAAACAAAACACAAAGTGAAAGAATGGATGGACAAAATAACAGAACAGGAAGAAAGAGACGGTGATAAATTTTATGCTTATGATACTGTATTTTCTTGGAAATCTGCAAAGAAATTTGTAAATGACATATTGTCAAGAATGATGTATTTGTTCACCTTGAGAAATCTGTAAACAAGAATGATGGTGAATATTATTCTGCAACAACAAACAGTGGAAAAATAGTATGTGCAAACAGAGAAAATAAATAACCATTTGATCAATAGAAAGTCTGAAAAACTTATACAAAGTTCTTGCACGAGTATAACGCTACAGTGAGATAGAATATAACGCACTAGAAACAGGGACAAGAAAATGTATTAGACAAGTGGCGTGAATGTACACGCAAAAACAAAATATGGATCGAAAAAAGTGATTAATCAACAGGACGAAATTCAGAGTGAAACTAACCAAAAGTACATGCAACATTTAATAACTTGAATAGGAGGTAACTTTAAGTGAGAATAATAACATTTACATTTTTAAGTCTTATTACCTTCTCAATACTCAAGCTCCAAACACACAAAAAAAAATTATCTCGGTGAGATTTAAGTTTCTCACGGCGGAGGGTAAGCAGATGGCTGTCTTGTGGGTTATTGTGCTATGCAATCTGGTACGATTTTACAGACGTTTCAGAGGTGTCTGTTGCCTCCATAGTCAGGGAGATCGCACAGCGCAGCAACCATCTGCATACATGACAAATATCGGTCTCTTAATTATGTATAATGGCAATTTTATTATTTATTCCGAGAAGGGTCGAAACAAATAAATGGTCTGTATGAGCAACACGACGAATCAGTGGAAGTTAAATGTGATTGTTCACACAGTTATGATTACCCTGAAAACGGCTAACTAATCTAAAACTCGTATTATTTTTCAATTATTGGAGCGTATGTCAGACAGGGAGTATCAGAAATGTGTCATCGTGTGCAAGGCCAAAAATTATCAATAACTTTCACTGTTACTTTCTTTGCTTTTAACATTATAGATAATCCGTTGAAATGTCAAATCTTAAAAAAAATCACGATTCGATCGTCTTCTGGTAAACGAGGGGAGGCACCTACTTTAGCCGATCCCAGGATCTAGTTGCCCTGCCCTAGCACTGTCCTAGATTTACTGAAAGAAAATATCATCATCCCTATCTCAGCATTATCCCAGATGAGAACAACACGAACGGTTCCAAGCATCATAAATATCCAATGAATAAAAACTAATGAGGAGTTTTGCCGAATTTAACACGAAACTGTGTTTCATAAAACAAAGACGTGCACAGAAAATGATACTACAGGACGACACCTACAAGCGTCTTGCAGGCGCGTCTGTTCTGCGACACCTCCCTGTCTTCAGCGCTGTTGTTTTACAGGATTCCCTGCCAGTCAATTTCTCTTTTCCAGCGTTCGAATTGTAAACCTCCGTGATCGACTTAACCAACAGCTACTCCCGGATGTGTGCTGTCTGCTCCGAGGGTTCCAACCGCTGTTCCTGATGGGATTTGTCACTGATCGAATTCTTCGTCTGCCTTTCTCGATTGGTGCCACAGATCTTATCAGCCCGAATCACATTAGCGCTAAGTAGCCCACTGCTACACGGACAGAGACCATCTTGCAAACAAGAAAACAATACTGCCCTACCGTAAAGTGCGCTAAATTGTATTTAACATTACTCCATCAACTACTTAAAAGTATTCACTCGTCTCTATACATAAAACGGCAGTCTAACACCGGGATTTTGCAGATCTCAGCGTAGTATGACTACCCCTGACGGCGTTATCAATATTCATGTTAACTACAAAACTAACCTGCCCTACCAACTTATATCTTGCTAATTCTGTTGTTTCAATTACGTCTTGCTTTAGCAACGTGAAAACGTATTCTCCTATATTCCTTAATTCTACAGCCTCGGAACATTTTTGTTAATATAAGCTACTTCAACGTTTACAATAAATAAATTCCTATACTAAAAAACTGTTGTACTTCCTTCCCCGGCACGAAACGTTTTAATGAAATATATAAAACTAAACATCCCCTGTGCACAGAGGGCGCCCTCTTTACTCAAATAACTTTTCCGCCCCCGCCCCCCCCCCTCAGCTTCCAAGTGCCAACCTTAAAGCCTTCTCCCCTCTCATGAACAGCAACCTATGTATAAAACATTAATGGCCTCTTATCACTAATATCTGTAAAAGGATTGTGATATTGCTGAAAATACAAGGATTATACCAGGAAAATGAGGAATGGAGTATCCTCTTATTGCGTGAAAAATTAGTGACGCCGAAAATAGAAGCAAGAATCAGTTGTTCAGTCCGAAAATAAGACAAAAGTTTGCTGGACGGACATTTATCTATTTGTCGGCATCAAGTTTTGGTTACAAATAATGAATGGGCCCAGTCGTCTGCTATCAGTAACTATAAGGCGTCAGTGAAACGTACACTGGCGTCCAACAGAATTTATTACTTGATTCTTAGTTTATTAAGGGACACGTCTTAAACTCCGTATATTACATAATATAGAATGATGTGGAGACAAGCGACCGTATCTATCCCTAGTACAATATTCAATATCCGTCACACTTGGCTACATAAATGCGCGGTTCGTGCAATGCATAAAAATGTAAATAAAGTTCTGACAGTGATGACTTTAGTAGAAAAAAATGCAAACGAGGCTAAGGTGGGGTCCAGCGGAGTCTGCGTTTGGCGGGAGTCTAGAGACGTTTTCGCATTCAACTCAGTTGATAAAGAAATATTATAAATGTTAAATGTTCAGTGAGACATACAAAGATTATGCTGCAGTAAACTGCATTAGTCTTGGACACAAAAAGTTAATTTTCGTAAACTTTTACGGGTTGTACGCTAAGATAACTCGGCCAGAAGCCCAACAGATTAGGTTTTTGTCTTCCTTTCAGCTGATAACGTAAATAAAAGCAACTTCCGAAGCATTGTAGCTTTAATAACATCTAGACGGTGGACAAAGTTCAAAGCACAAATTTAACGCAACGTAATGTGTCTGTCACTAATCTCCGTACGAAATTATGGTGTCTTCTGCAGGTTCACACATCCATTTTACAGCAGTTTCATTTCCAATTTCTAACCCAACTCCCACTTGAACGCCATAACTGATGTTTGATGGTCTATGTACCGTGCCGAGATTTATCATTCTCCCATTACACTGACGCCATCAGTGACAAAGTAGGTTAAATTCCGTATGTCTCCTTCTGTCATCATTTAATTACTTTATTAATTATTAACGACCTCCATTCCCAAAGATGGCGATAGATGCAAAATAATGTACAGCATTAACCGTCGGCGAATTAAACGGCATGGTAACCGATTAATGCCAATAATACGTCACTACTGATTTATAAATACACACAGTAAGATTCAAATGATTTAATCTACTATATAGTTTTCCGGGGTCCGCAGAGGCTGCGTGGTCTGGGGCGTGGTCCTTGTGCCGCTTGGTCGCTGAGACCGTGGGTTCGAATCCCACTCAAGCCATGGATGTTTGTCCGCGACTCTCTGTGTTGTGCTGTCCTGTGTACAGGTAGAGGCCTTGCGACGGGCCGATCCCTCGTCCAAGGAGTCCTACCGAATGTCTATAGATCGAGTCAACGAAAAGTTGGGACCCGCAGTGCTCAGGCACTTGAAGAACGGGTCGTTCCCAGTATCCCAGTGACAGTTTTTCTATTAACACTTCTGCATCCTCCACTGTTCTCGACGTAACATAATAGAACATCCTTACCTGGAGCTCCTGTACTGAAGGTTTTGTTCAGCATCAGCCAGCATTCCTCTTGTCTCTCGGAAAGCAACTTGTCCAGCGGCGATACGGTGTCCGAAATATTCTGTACAACCTGCAACAACATCACAAATTAAGTTTCTTCCTTTGCGATGGTTTACAGGCTGATATCAGGAAAAAAAGAAAACCTAAGTGTGCTACAGGGGACTCGGAGGGGGCCAGCGCGGACCGCTTGATATTTTTTGGCTAATTATCCAAGTCCTTCGTTATCGGCACAGGGAACATTACATGACCATTCACCAGTATTAAAATATCGATTCTTATACAGCCATGTATAGATACATCTTGCCCGTCGCTACATACAAAAACCAAAACGAGAACGAAAAAGAAAATACATTTTGATGGTGCAAACCCCTTTTTTAATAAACTGGCAGCACACATCTGATATCACGGTGGTGTAAAATAGTCATACATTTCGTTCCATGAGATTTATGATTCTCTGCGTTCAACGCATTGTGGACATGTACCTATTTACAAGTCCACACGGCGGTACAATCCAGAAAATCAATCAATACAACTAAACGACGTTTCAGAGGTGTGTACTACCTCTATCATTATTGCCCTGATGATAGTCAGTAAGCACCTCTGGAACGTAGGTCAATATCTACGACACTACACGGCGCAACAACCCAGAAGACAGTCAAAATCTTACTCGCCGCCATGACAACCAACATCGAGTTTTTCGTTCATGCACCCAGTCCGCGCGTAACACTTGAAGTCTGGCGGGCCACTTGTGGCCTGCGAAACTTTGAGGGGGGTTTCAACAAGTAAAATTACCACATGTCTCGTATGTTTGTAAACTGGATTGATTAATCCGTTCGTCAATCTGTTCGTCCATATTTCAAGTCCACAATATAGAACTGTGCTTTGCCTTGTAACACAGTATTCAAATAGTTGTTTATGTTGCATAATACACCATCTACATCGAAACGCTTCTTACACTGATGAAAGTCACTTCTTTAGACACAGTGATTTAGGGTCTGAGAATTGGATTTAAATGCCATATAAAGGAGCAATAAAGCTGTTCTTTTACTGTCTCCTCCAGCGCAAGACTTCCTCTGCAGACATGAGCTGATTACACTATCAGGCAGAGACGTAGCATGGCTTAGTAGAGTTTGGTGTCACTACAATTTGAGCAGATTTCTGGCGGCTCTACACCACTACAGTAAATAACTGATATCATTTATAGATCTTGAATAAATAATTATATTTTTCTACTATCGGCATTTAAACTGAAAGATCATTAGATTCGTGGATCATTTGCAGCATTCGTGCGTCATAAACATCTCACCACATAACTGAGCTTTGAGCTTGGTATCCGGCGAATGACAAGAGGGAAAACGTTCGGTTGTTTTACTCAAAATTTTAAATGTATTTTCTGTCTTAGATGAAACTTTGTTTTAAAATGCCCCAAATCTGTGTTCTTCTCTTGGAGTAACAGATAAAGATTAACATCCTTACCAAATAACAGGTAAGAATGATAGTTTTGTATAGTTTTATCTTTACAGGCTTATTTATTTTTAGCTGACACGACGGTAGCGTTTCTAAATTCAGTGCTAGAAAGAATTCCCGTAACTGAACCAATTCTTAACATTTTTATGAATGTAATTTTGACCTGTTACTGTCGTTCTCAAACATTTTAAGAATTTAAAAGTAAATAAAATACACAGTGAATTTTCGTGATTTATTCAGAAACAAAATGGTATTAGCTATATTCAATCCAACACGGTAATATACCTGCAATGCATTAACAAATTGCGTTTATCAACAACTTAATTATGATATTAAATTCTATACGGTACTTCGCGAACAGTTGCGGGCACATAATTCTGCGTTGGTATAACAACAAAAACAGAAGTCAGCTCTATGTACTCTGTGTCCACATTGTTTGCAGATGTTCTGCCAATAACGGCTGTAATGAGGAATGCCATTATGTATCAATGCCACACACTAACACAACTCCAGCATTACGGAATGACAGCATCAATTTAAAGGAGGATTAGCCACCGCAAGCTAAATCCCTCTCGATGCAAATATCAATATGTAAATGCTTTACAGGCTGTTGCATTACAATACGTAATGGAGAAGGTGACACACTAATTTACACAATACCTATCCACCTCAATTTCTTGCGTCATTCCTAGCTGTACCGCCTGCCACAGTCTGAAGATCTAATTTATTTACACAGAAATTAATGACCAAGTTTGGGATCGAATACGGAACCTTTTGAGTATTAAACTATTGCGTTAATCAACAGACCAACGAATATTCAACTACCTCGATACGAAGGTCACGCGTTGCGATGCTATGGTTAGCACTCCTGCATATCGGGAAGACCCGAGTACAGCCCAGTCCGAAGTCAGGCTTTCCTCAGTAAGTTTTTTTTTTCATACGTCTAGACCAGTGGTCTCCAAAGTGGGGTGCGCGCACCCCTGGGGGTACGTGACATGGTCCATGGGGACGCGCGAGATATTTCAATTTAATTTTGTTTTGCATCCTTGTATTGAATTGTATTTGTGATTTTATGATGTGATGCTAGATATAAATGTATACCATTAAAATTATTTATAAATAAATAATAAATATAGTAATTACAGTTCAATATTTATTTATTTAATTCGGGGGTGTGCTACTTTTTTTTTTAGCAAAACCTTTGGAGACCACTGGTCTAGACTATTGCATCTTGAAATAAGTATCAACCGTTTCCTTCTATATTTCTACAAATTAATAGGTAACATCGGTCATTATTAAATCAAGTAAGCGGTAACTCATCGAAAAATTTCCACAGTTTTGTGTTCTATATTTTGGGTTCGCAATTTATTTATCTCCAGCGCTTCAAGGCGTACTCATCAATCACAGTTCATCGTTAAGTAATCTGTGCGTTAAAACAGCGTCGTTGAACAAAACTCAGACCAACGATATCTCATTTTTTTTAAAACAAAAATGAGCTCGCCTTTGTGGTACTGTAAATGGCTGAAGTGAAAATAAGAAAAATCGCCTGTCTCATTAAAGGAATATCTTGTATACATTAAAGATGTTGTTTAAAATGGGGTTCTCAGGGGAGTATAACAAGTAGTTTTCAGGTTGGTTGCTTTAGAATTTTGCGTCCTGGTTGTTCAGGGAAAATGGGTGTTGTGTTCCGTAACATCTCGTGTACCATGAATATAGATCTATAACAGAATCGCATTAACGTCGCAACCAGGATATCATATATGACTAGAATATACGCAAAATCTCAAAGGGAATAACTTAACCCCCCTCTAAAATTGGTTTTCCCAGTAGACTTTAACACTTTATGAACATTAGTGTTGGCTGAAAAAGCTCCTTTTTATATATGCAAGAATAAGGTCGAAGAGAATGTGTACGTAGAAATTATTCTGTCAAAAGTTTGAAAAGAAATCGCAATATAAAGGCACAGACAGAGAACAATATCATTTAACAGGACTAGCACTTAATCACGTTACAAGGCGATGAGATTGAGTGATTACTATTCTTGCTTGTTCTTGAAAATTTCCGGGATCGATTCTTGATCCGGAGACTATCTTGTCTGAGATTTGTAAGCCACAACTGCTTCCATTCGCTTCTTTACCATTTAAAAATTTATAGTGACACTCCATTCGACAATGCACAGTCTGCGTAGTTGAAAAAAGTCGTTAAATGAACAGAAATAAGTTGGGTAGATTGATAATTTTGCAGAATTACGCATACAGATTTTTGGAAATTTTGGTGTAGTGGTTAGCGTAAGACTCTATAATCTGGATACCTGTGGTTCAAATCTACGTCAACGATCCAATTTATGGAAATGGATGGATGGGAGAATGTGACACGACAGGGAAATCACCTCATTATTCTGTCACACTTCAGTTGTGTCAGGTCTCGTTTAACGGATTTTCATTTCTATGGCTGATGCACCTATAAATATACTAAAAATCAGGTTGTGATACGGATGGCACAAACTCCGAATTAAGACAGTTACTTTTCAGCATCCGTTCCAAACCAAACCCAACCCAACCTGAACTCGACCCAGACTCGGCTAAACTAGACTAGACTAGACCTAAGCGGACTTGATACAAAATTTCAATTTTGTGCATACTTTATCTTGCATTTCTCTTAGGTGACTTCCATTTATCAGCTCTCACCTATTGTGATTTTGTGTTCCAGTCATCTGCTTCCCTTTTCAAAATTACAATTAATTGCACTTTCGAACTATCATAATAACCGTAGGCCTTCCTCATTAAGGGCGGAATGAAAATTAATTAATTGGACATGTTGGCGCTATTGAAACAATTAATTCTGTATTTTCAGTCAGTTTTTGTGGTGGCTGTACAATGTGGCAGTAGCCCACCACAGTGTATCGGTGGTTATTCAGTACAAAACATGTTCCGCAGAATCCGGAATAAACATTCCATCTGTGGACTATAACAATGTCATCAATACTGTTCTCCTGCTTCTTACCACAGACACGCCAGCGATCGCATCGCCCTCCGATAATTGCGAAGTCTTCAGGAAAAACTACTGCATCTATCTACAACGCAAAGAATACTGCGACCAACAAGAATCAATTTTACTGAAGCTCTGTGCACTAGAATGTAACCATTAAACGAGATGTGATTCCACAAAAAAATTATTCCCTTACGTTCTTGTTATGACAGTATTACGCTGGATATATTTCATTGTCTGTGCATGAAGTTTGACTGTGATTCAACTTCAACAAAAATGGAGAAGTTATGTCGTGAAACGCGCACGTTTTGAACTCTGAGCAGTAAGAAATAATTCACACGCGGAGCTTTTAAAATGTGTTGTGCATTACTTTAATCGAATGCACGCAGGAGTCCATTTTATATAATTTTTATTAAGGTTCTTTTAATTTCAACGTTTTCCTGCCTTCATTTATGGCTTCCTGACTCTCTTTAATATTATTTCCCACGTTCCCAATAGCATTTTTCGAAGTTAATAACTGTCTTTACCTTGCCAGAAGTCGTACGATACTATGTAAACGCCTACACAATTTATGAACTTAATGCAATTGAAAAGAAGCCATAAAAGACAAACGGG